TACACCTTTCTGATTGCTATTAGTGTCGAAGATAACTTCCTCTCCCCATCCACTCAAGATTTTAATTTCATTCACTAAGCTGCAGGCTACTGGCCAGCACCCGCTGCCAAAGTCAACACCTTAGGTCTGCTTTGTCTGGGAGAGCAGACTAAAGGGAGAGTGGGCCCTAAGATCCCTGAGTCCCCTTTCCCAGCCTCTCCTGGGACCTGCCTAGGTGATGGCCTATTTATGGCACGATGAGGGGTTTGCTCTTTGGGTCTCTTGATTTGGAATCCATCTTTACAAAGGTTCTTTATTCTCTGAAAGTCAACAGGGAGAGTAATTTCCCTCCCTTTGGGTAGGGAGCTAGAAATATTTCACTTGCAGCCGTTACTCTATAACATGGAAAGTCTCCAAACACATAAACAGAAATTCTGCCCCCCCACCATTAAACATTAGAAACTATTGGGGGGTGAGTGGTGATGGGTTTGGGTGCCCAACCCTCAAGGGAAGGAAACTGTAAGAAAAATAGATTGTTTATACGTCTGTCTCCCCACAAGACTGTGAGCTGCTCAGAGGCAGGGATCACATTCTATCTTGTGCGTCCCTAGCTCCCGGCGCAGTGCCTGACACACAGGAAATGTTTGCTGAAATGTGAAGATGCACAGAACTAAAGGAAAAAGGAAGGCCACAAATCCAGTGATGGAACAGAAACACTGGATTGGGAGGGAAGAGGTACATTTATAGGAAATGAAATGGTAACTTGGAGTAGGACTGGACTTAGGAGACCTAGTACAAAGTGATGACACACACATAATCTTCCCCTTACACAATAACACAACATTTTGTTTTCAACATAACATAAAAACCATCAAAGGGTCTTCAGCTGGTTTGCAAGTTCTCTGATATCCCTGACTCTGCTAACGGGCAAAGAGAGGAATGTCTTGGCAACTCTGTCAAGTGGGAGTTCTTAGGAGAGAGGGAACATTGATGGTCTGCAGAGGATGAGAAGATTCAGAAAGATTCCTTCATGTGCAAATCCACAATGCAGGTGAAGTGGGGGTTGTAGAAACAGTGACTTCATCCAAGAGAGGTACACAAACCCCTCATTTTGGAGAGAATACTATGCTTATAGTTTCAAAAGAATCACAGTCTTGTTTGGGGTGTGTGTGTGTCTCCCTTTAACTCTGGCATTTCAAAAAATGTTTGCTTCCTCAGTGAGATATCCACCAGGAATTTGGCCTTTGCCAAATGGTGCTGTGTTTCGTGTAAGCAGAGTTTAGAGACAAAAGATTTATTCAAATAAGTCTCTTTCTGCAGACAGTTACGAGATATAAACATCAGGCTATTGTGCAGCACATCCAACCTCATTCCAATTACTTCATTTGCATGCAACTTATGGATCTTTCACCAAAGTGGGGATATTAAAATTTCAGGATTTTTTCCCTCAGTCATATCCTCAAGGATGTCTTATATTCTTTATATAGGATTCAATTAAACTTAGAAATCACTTCACTCAAGTCATTAGTTGGTATTCTATAGAACTTTCCACATGCAAGATTTTAAAGCTCCTTCCAATAGCTGGATCTCTTAAAAGTTCTCTACCCTGCATGGGTAGGGCCTTCTCCTCATAGATCCCAAATCCCCAAGTGACTGATAGGTAATCCAAGGTATAAAGTACTCATCTGTCACACACAGCATCACCAAGTGAACAGCGAACAGGACGCAGAGTCAGCAGGCATGGTGGCCCAGCGCCTGGGCTGTTTCTTAGTCTAAACTAATCTTCGAGAGACAAACCAGAAATGTGGAGTTTGGGCTTTGACGTGAAACAGACCCATGTTCAAATACAGCTCTACCACTTACTAGCTAAGGAACTTTGGCAGTTATTTATCCTCTCTGTGCCTCAACTGTATCTTGTGTAAAACAGAGAAAACAAGACCTACCTTGCAGGAAGTCTGGACTATTAATAGATTCTCATGGGGCAACATTGGTCTCAGAAGACTTTTCAAACCAACTGTGAGGTCTAGTAATTACTATGGAGAAACTAATCTTGGTTAGAATCTTACCAAGAGACTACATGGGCAATTTCCCCCCTCCCCACTGTTAAATTTGGGACAGGCTGTTTGAAAAGGGGATTGGTGAAATAATTACCGTATAAGTCAGGATAATAGTTACTTCTAGAGCGATGGGATGAGACTGTGTTCTGCAGTGCTGCAATGTTTTATTTCTTGACCTGGATGTGCGTTTCCTTTAAAATTACTCATAAATTATACATGCTTGTATACCTTTTTGTACATGTTATATCTCAAAATAAAAGAAAAAGGGAATTTTAGAATCTTGTAATAAAAGTATTACAGGGTGTCTGGAACTGGTCTATTATGCTTTAAGGTCTAAGTGAAGCCAAAGTAGAGGGAAGGAGCCCTTAAGGTTCAAGCCACTTGCTGGAGAACCTCCATAGTGGCCCTAAGAGAAGTGTGGCTGGCAGAGGTTTGAGAGCTCCATCTGCAATGGCTCAGAGGCAACAGTGTACAAGAGGCTGAATCTAGCATTTAATGCACAAATTCAAGAACAATATAACCATCCTCTTGAGTCTTAAGAAGGAATTCATCATGGCCTGAAATCAATGATTAATGTTCATAGTGACCTATTCAAAGCCACAAGAGCAGGAAGTGTAAAAGATGTAGGACTGTAAATAATCTAAAAATGCACAGTTAGAATTTGTTTTGTTTTGTTTGAGACAGGGTCTTGCTCTGTCGCCTGGGCTAGAGTGCAGTGGTGTCATCATAGCTCACTGCAACCTCAAACTCCTGGGCTCAAGCGATACTCTTGCCTCAGCCTCCCGAGTAGCTGGGACTAGAGGTGCATGCCACTACACCCAGCTAATTTTTCTATTTTTTGTAGAGGCGGGGTCTCGCTCTTGCTCAGGCTGGTCTCGAACTCCTGAGCTCAAACAATCCGCCCGCCTCGGCCTCCCAGAGAGCTAGGATTACAGGTGTGAGCCACCATGCCTGGCCCATTATTTCCAAATTTTCTATACTGAATTTCTTAGGTAGTAAAACAACAAATTAATATTTAAAGATTGATGAGAAGAAATATCCTCTTCTCTTGCCAAACTAGTTTCTTCTTCAGGAGCTGAGCACAAACACTTGTCCCCTGCCATCCCTGCCCCCTTGCTATTTGGGCGGAAGAGCACAGGGGCCCCTGCCTGGCACCATGGACAGCAATCAAGGGTGAAAGGGCAAGGATGGGACAGGGCAGGGTTCTAGGTGTACACTCTACCCTGAGCCGACCACTTATGGAGGAACTACTGGGGAATGCAAAAGCATTTTAAACCTTTCTTTCCCCACCTTCAATTTAAGCTGTGAATCTCCACTTAAGCAGCCACTTGCTCCTTGGTTCTTATTTTAAACATTTATTTATTTACTGTACAAAATATTTACATCATCAACTGCAACTGTCTGGCCCTTTCACCTGGCCCAATGAATCTGTAGCAGGGCTTGGTCTCCGCTGAATTTCCAGAAACACTCTCCTGGCACTCACTTGATGCCTGTTCTTCTTCAAAGACACTAAAAGGCCAGAAGGGTAGCTGGCTCCCCAAGTACCTGGGCCACAAGGGCATAATAAAATAACTGGCCAAAATAAGAAAAATGACTAGAAAATTGCTCAAAAAAAAAAAAAAACACTCCCTGCTCTCTGACATATTGCACCTTTTCCCCACACTGGCTAGTACCACCGCAGGATTAGAAAAAAAGCAAAAGGAAAGCCAAAAAGAGCAAAGATACTTTTGAATAGAGTTAGGGGAGAGAGAGAGTAAACTGGAAGAATAGAAAACCACAACAGTACCAAAGGGTTTTGTTAAACAAAGATTCTGGTTTCTAAGGACCACCAGAGGGATGCAGCTGCCCCAGTTGGGCTGCAATGGTGCCTAGGATGCTCTGAAAAAGTGCTACGACTAGAGCTTAAAATGATAGATCTAGCCAAGACAATCAACTCAATCTCTAGCATCAGTCTCTGGAGGGCTGCCAGAGGGGAGAATGCAGAATCCAGATGAGGAACAACTGCCAAAAACATCAAAACCATCCACATGCCCTCAGCTGGAAACCCCTATCTGGGCCCAAGGGGCAGCATCATGTTTCCCAGGGTGATGACTAAACTTTCCTGTACATATCCCACGGGAAAAAATTTGGGCAAGCAGCAGCACCTTGTCCTGGTCCCTGAGGAGAGCAGTGACCATGTGGCATGGAGGATCCTCGGGTATAGATGCCCTGCTGCCGGATCCCGGACCCAAGGACAGGTGAGGTCAGCACACATGCCAAGAAAGGACAAATGACAACTGCAAAGGAGCGAGGTCAGACAGGAACTGCAGCAGCTCAGGAGGGCTTGTTTCACATGATCCCTGGGAACAGGAGGGCTCAGACATGCTTCCAGGAGGCCAAGGCATTGCCACAAGTCCTGCCTTGTCTCAGGACTCTGTGTACTTGCTGGTTTTGGCAATACAGATGGCTTGTAATATTCTCAGAGTTGAGTGCCTCATCGGGAATGGTAGCTTGCAACAAAGCCTTCTTAAAAACAGAAATCTGGGAAGTTAGTGAGATTTTGAGGCTTGAAATTGTTTTCATTGAAACGGTAATGAAAAAGGGTGTTGTCATCTTCCAAGAGACAGCAGCAGGTACTCTTCAATCACCACTCAACAGTGAACCTAATATAGCTTCCTCCCTCCTTAGTTCTCCTTCCTGGTAACTGACGGAGCGAAGGGAAGTACTGAGAATGGCTAGGCATTTACTGTCCAATCTATCTATCTACTCCATGTCTGTCCCCAGTGTCCTGACCCCAGGGACCTGTGATAAGCACTTAAACTCCTAATCCCCATTCCTTTGTCTTCATGCTACTAGAGAACACCAAGCGCAGAGAGAATCAGGGATTGCTGGCAATGCTATTCTTACTGCTCCAATCCTTTGCTACAAAATTTTCTTTAGTAGAACTCTAAAGAATCCCTCTTAGCAGACTACCTAACTCGGGGGTCAGGAGCCCTGCCCAGCCACACTTCAGCCAAAAGAACTCAGGGAAAAGCCTCAGTAGTCATGTGCCTAGACATGTCCCACAAACCTAAAGGAGAATCATATTAAGCACTGGAGGCCACTGCTCAGCTATCCTTCACATTCTTTAGTCTATCCGCTTTTCTCACTGGCTAAAATTCAAGAAAAAGCTTAGACAGTCCTTCTTTATGCATTAATAATCAGTTCCAGAAACGCATGAAGGGAAAGTGCTGTTTCCAGTTCTGACACCACAAAAAAAGATCCTTTTGTGCTATCAGTCCTCATTAGAGGTAGTCCAGTGCCATGGCCTGTGCCTGCCATTGTGAAAGGGACAAAACCAAAGATTGCTCACGTGGACCACTTCCTAACTGTGCCTCTGCTGGCTCCTGACTAGAAGAGGCAATGATCCCGTCCACGAAAAGGACTCAGGTACCAGTCTGGTCAAGTAGTGAGGGCCAAAGGCACCTCCAAGAAGCATCTGCAGAGGGAGGTGGAGCAAGGTGTGGATTTAAGGCTTTCTGCACACCAGCTTCCCTCAGCTACTGAGTTCTTCAAATGACCAAATGAAATGACAGCAGTGCAGTCCTCTTCTTATGACTGCATGGAGAGCTCAGCTTACAGACCATGCCAAAGTGGCCTGTGGTGAACATGGGCAGGGGTGGGGTGAGGTAAGGACAAGGCTCGTAGGTGACAAAATACTCCAGACACAGGGGAGCATGCGGCATCTTCTGGCTGATGGTTATGTGTGTTAGGGTCAGTAGTTACGATGTCTGTAATGTGTGCTTGGATGCTCCAGAGAGCCTGAGAGCCAAGCAGATGGCAGGAGAGTGGTCAGAGCATGCCAAAGCCCTCACAACCCTCGCTGATGGCCAGCTGCAGCATCCTGTGCACCTCTTCATAGGAGTCATACGTAGGGAGGCACAGCTGGTTAAAACTGGAAGGGCAAGGGGAAAAGAGATTAACTCATACCACCAGAAACCCCAGGCATGTACCAGGCAGTCAGATACCTACCATGTGTGTGCAGTAGGTAGCGTGCTATGGGTTGGAGCAGCAATAATCTGAAATGAGGGACAGAGGGCGGCAAAGCCTCCAGGTGGTAGCTGAGAGGAGCCTGTTGTGAACTGAAGTAGCCGAGCCAACTCCTCCTGGGTCAAACTGGAAACCACAGTCCAAAACCACCTCATGACCTGGCAGGGAGAGCACAAGGATCACACATGGTACACAGCCTAGGATTTGATCCCTGGGGAAAGGAACAAGATACCCTGAAGTGGGGCTATACCCCAGTTACAGTTCTATGAGGACACAGGTAGGAACAGTTAAGAGTTGACAACTTCTTCAGGAATTTATATTGTCACATGGTCAGGAGGGTAGTCACTGATTGCCTGGTTTTATTTCGTTGCATTTCCAATTTACTATTCCTGTGGCAGTCAGCATGACAGCCCTTTAGGGATCAAGGCTCCCTTCTGCCTGGACAACAACCCATCTTTCCCATATGTATTACTGTGTCCCAAACAACATGCCAACTTCTTTGACTCCTCTACTTTTTTCTTCTGAAACTTTTTCCTTCAAGCTTGGCACAAATCCAACTGTAACAAGTTTGGCCCACTTACCTTTTCTCTGAAATGCCATGAGCCACCAACAACTACCGCATGGGCTTTGAAGTCAGACACACTGATGTCTCCAGTCCCACACATCAGCAGCTACAGAAAAACAGTGAGTGTGACTACAACAGTCAGAGGGACAAAGACCCATCATAAGGTCAAAACTACCTACGATAACATGCAAAATGCCCAAGAAAGAAAACACCAGGAAAAAGATGGAAGGTGAGAGCATAATGCCAGAATACTGTTTTAGGAAAATCAGTTACATACAATAGGCCAACGGTTGCTAACCAGCGTGGTAAAAAAAAATCACACAGCTTTTTAAAAAATATATAGACATTTGTGGCCCTACCCCAGACCTATTGAATCAAAATCTCTAGGAATGGACTCTGAGCTCATGTAGGTTGAAACAGTATTCCAGTGCTTCTAATGAGCACCCTAAGAAATGCTGCGATGGATTATTCTTAATTGAAACAAAGGAAAAAAAACCCCAAGTGTTCACTGATAGTCTGCTCTAGGAACATCAGGGAGAAAAGGCAGCCCTCTTCCTTTGATGGAGACCCCTGGTCCCGTTTACGAATTTCTCAGATGGCCTTTTCCCAGGATCCATCCTTCTTTTGTGGATTGAACTTTTACTACCTTCCCTTTAGCTCTGCCTCCACTTGATCAGATAAATTAAAAAGTATGCCAAAAAATGAGAACATTAATGACATCAGATCCCTAAACATTTTGTTGATATCCTAATTCGGTTCAGGATCCAGCATGTTACTTAGCAGACTGTGAGTACTCATCCAATAGCTATGAAGAATGATATATCCTAGTCAAGAGACAAGAAAAGCCCAAACTAAGCCTGAGAAGCCTTGGCTCCTTCAAAAAGAAGTTGCTAAGCTAATGAGTCATAAAGAGCAAGATGTGGAACAACTATAAGAGACTATGTCCTTCCTTTCTATTCACTTTTACAAATTATTACAAATGCTTTGCTTCAAGATAAAATATACCAGTAGCTACTCCTTAGCCCCCAAAATAAAAGCACTGATAGGTATATCAGAGACTTTAGGCTGAGGTTTGGAGAGTTCATCTTGTTTGAATTTCACATCTGAAGGTACAAAATGTGATGAAAATTACACAAGATTTTGATTCTTGTTCTCCAAGCCAGTTCAGTCAATAAGAACAAGAATTACACAAGACCACCTAATACAACTTTCCCCAACCCCATTTTTAAAGAAGAACTATCCTCCCTAAAGGAAACAGTTTGCAGAAACACATGCCTCATAAAAACTACGCGAAGTTAAAACTAGTAATTTGCACTGTACCATGTTGGTAGCTAAAGACAAATTGATTCTATTTTTTGCCCATACCTGGTGTGGACTTCAATTCTGCAAATTATAGAATCTGTATTTACCATCTTACTGCTTTCTTTTGGTTGCTATAGGGCCTAAAATAAGAATATATTTACTATGTATCCAAAAATATGGGCTGGGCACAGTGGCTTGCACCTGTATTGGGGGCTAAGGCGAGAGGATCACTTGAGGCCAGAGTTCAAGGCCACAGTGAGCTATGATCCCACCACTGCACTCTAGCCTGGGCAACTGAGGAAGAGAGACCCTGTCTCTAAAAAAAAATAAAATAAAATAAATAAAAATGTATACCATATAGTGTTATGGTCCAATACTTTGAAATATGTTCACATCTTTTGGTTTGTCTCCTCCTCTAGAACATAGCCCATGAGGGCTGGAGCTTTGTCTTATTCACTGCTATCTCCCCCGTGTCACAAAATACATGGCATACAGGAGGCACTCAATACATACCTGAACAAATAAATTCTAGTATTCCCTTAAATGTCATGGGATTTTCTGAAGACTGTACCTGATACCAACATTCTTTACTACTTAACCAGTGTCAATATTTGATGAATAAGTGAATGTTAATTATTACTCTTTATAATAATTAGCTATTTACTTTCTAACATTCACATTCTAAGTTTTTAAAAGCTGAAGAAAAGGTCAATGAGTGGAAGAGTGACAAAAGTGAAACCAACCCTTGCATAAACAGCTGTCCTGTTACATCTCACAACAGAGGGTGCACCAGGCTGATTCCTGTGGATACTGAACAGAAGTAGTCTGAATTGTAAGCACTTACCTCAAGTTCATTCTCATCGAAAATAGCCAAAAGGTTCTCAGGGACCAGCTCATTCAGGCCTGAAACAAAGTAGCCAAGTTAAAGCCATACCCACACCATGGATACAGGTATTTTAACTTCAAGGCCAAGAGCAGACAGGATCCCACCTTTTAGGAAATGTTCCACTTCCTCTTTCACTTGACTGGCCAGCCGATATTGGGCCAGCAAATTTAAATAGAAGATTTTATTCGCATTGGTTACTGGGGTTTGGGCTCCACCTGTCATGAGTTCTACAACCTGAAACAAGACACAAAAGACACACAAAGAGAGGCTGTGGATGGAAATTTATAAGATGATACCTGCCCAGTATGTTCCACAAACAGCATTACCGACTTCCATCAATGCCAGTCACAAATTTCTGGTGTGCATCCAGCTTTTTAACACACTTGCTTTTAGTTAGTTACTAAGCTTCATGGTTCCTACCACTATTGCTATATTCCACTAGCTACTATTTCTGAAATGGGTGTCTGGGTGAGATTTTCTCTGACCCAGTCAAGTAATGGTGATGCAACAGGAATACGTCAAGATTCCTTGCTAGCAATATTTTAATCCAAATGATCCAAAATTAAACTACTACTGACTTCTTCTCTGAGCAAGTGAGAGTGAACAGATAAGTAGTGAAGAATTCTTTTTGTCTCAGAAATTCAAAGATGGGTACAGTTGTTCTGCACATTCTTCTATCTCTCACGTGGGTCAATAGAAAGCCACAGCTTGAAACTTGGAGATCCTGGATTCTAATCCCAACCCTGATGCTAACTTGCTATAGATCTTCAGTCACTTGGCTATTTGGGCCCCCAATTTTCCTATCTGCAAAGAAAAAGCTGACAAGCTATATGATTGTCAAATAGAATTGGTATCCCCCAACAAACAACTTGCAGAGGAAATCTGAGGGAGCCCTGAAGCACAGTTTAAAACCACAATGCTGAAAATTTGTGTACAGTGACCACGGTTGTCTCCATAGGTGAATGAAGTTATAAGACCAGATTTCAAGATCCTGGCAACAGCATGGTAGGAACAGCATGTTAATCTACTATAATTTAGATCCATTCAGAGATTCTCAATGGATCTAAAAATGTAAAACTTTTTTTCTGTTATTATATACAATTCTGGATTTTTATTTTATGTGACTAAGCATTTCTATCTAGTAGCACAAGAAATAAATTATTAAGATTTAGTGTTCATATCAAACTCAATTAAAACGAGCACTCTCTTGGGCCTGAGGGCTCTAATTTAGTATTCTATTGACTCTCGCTGCCTGACTGTGCCAGGTCAGGAAGACAGGCTCTGACCTCATGTGTACAAAGGCAGACAGCTGGGATTCCCATAATTTTCAGAAAAGATATCTGATTATCATTAGAGTGGTACCAGTGGTCCCAATTTTCAATCACTGCTATTTTGCTCTTAATTATATATTACTGCAACTTTAGCTTCATCATTATCATTTGATACTGTTTAACTCCACAATGTAAACAGAAGCACATGTGCATCAGAAAGACCTTTGGCCAATAATATTCTAATAAAATGTTTTGAAATTTACAGGCATTGTGTTTAAATGGGAATCATCTATATCACCACTGCTAATATGGATGAAGACACTGCCATCTCTTCCAAATCTTCTTGTACAATGACATTTCATTATCACTCAGCTTCTTTTTGACTGGAAAGTAGGAATGGGTGGGATAGACGGGCACATGTGTCTTTTGCTCCACTCGAATGAGCTGAGATCAAGTGTGGGGTGTGATGCTCTAAAGCTGTGCAACATGGCAGCTGCTAGCCAAATGCAACTATTTAAATTTAAATTAATTAAAATAAGATAAAATGAGAAATTCAGTTATTTGGTCACACTAGCCACATTTTGGGTACTTAATAGACAACACAAATATAGAACATTTCCATCACTGCAGAAAGTTCTATTAGACAATGCTGCTATAGAGACAGCTGGAGAACATGGGACCTACAGCCTTTGGTCCTCTTTCTCACCTTATCCAGTTGACCTGATTTGTTATATTTCTCTTCTGCAAAGACCAGCTCCATCTCACTCATGTCATTGTTGAGGATAAAACAAACTTTAGATTTGTAGAATTCTGGATCATCTGTTTCAAAGTACTGGGGAGACAGAAAGATGCAGAACAGAACATGAATGCTCTTCCCCAGAAATGAAATTTGTAACTGGTTGGAACCACTTAACTTAATTTCTTCAACCTTAAGATTAATAAGCTTAGGTGAAGAGATTCCAGAGTTAATGGCCAGGGGCCTTAGTAGAAAATGCACCCCCAAGATGTTACCTTGTAATGCATACGTAGTCCTATGATTTGGGCCAGGAAAGAACGGGTGAAGCGAGCTCGGACCAACTGCTTGTAGGCTCCTCCTAGAGAGGACTCATAAAGACACTTGCCCACGAGCCGCCCTGCAAACTCATACATCTTCAGACGCAGATGAGCTGGGCGATTAGGGTTGGGATGCACCTGTCCAAGAAAAAGACTGAAAGGCCCTGGGCCATTTTTCTTCAAGCCTAGTTCTGGAAAGACCCTCCCTCCCCAACTCCATGCCAAGGAAGCAAAAAGTGTGAGGATCAAAAAGCCCACTCAAATGACATTAGTCTTTTGGTAGCCACCACTAAGTAATTCAAAGTGACTGGTGGATAAAGGGCAAAGATGGACTTACATTAAGTTGAAGATGGACTTGTATCAAGTTTGTGGTCCCTAGCTGAGTATGGAATTGAATCAGTGGATGATGTGGTACTTTTTCCCTAAACCAGAACTTCTTTCAGTCAAAGTCTACTTCTCTATCCCTGATGCCTCCACCTAGTTAAAGACCTAGTACAGAAATCAATTGCTTCAGGTATATTTTGAGAAAGTGGCTTAACTATTATAATAATTAGATAAGTAGCTATACTATAATGCTTTTTAGTCCAATATTCATCTACCTGCATTTTCTCTTATTTTACAGATGAAATAATGAAGGTAAAGAGCAGAGAGGTCATCTGATTAGCTCATATTGCAAGTAGCAAAATTAAGAATAGGACACAGGTTGTCAGACTCCTAGGTCAGTTTCACAATTTCAAGCCCCTGGTAGTCTATCCATTACAACATAATCCCCAAAATCCCCATTTTCCACCCACCATGGGGAAGTCACAGACTCACTAATGCTTGGTTGTTGTCACTGAACCGGGTGAAGAGCTGATTGGTGGTGTCAAATAGGGCTTTGCTGATTAGATCAAACCATTCCCGGCGAGGCCCTCCCCAGTCCAGCGCTGAAAAGTATAACGAAAATAAAAAATGACTGGCCTACTTCCTCTTACCACTTTTGTTCATTTAGTCATCATTTTATTATGCACTCTCCACATTCCATCTATTCCACTACCTTAGTGTTTCCCCATTGCAACTCACCTCAACTATGGACTTTTTTTTGAAATCCCACCCCTTTCTGTAGGATTAAAGGTATTTTGATGAATAAGCTAATGTCCCCTAATATTGAAACACAGATCAGAAATCCCAGGAAATGGCTAGTTCTCTCAAAGTAACCAAAGTTACTTTGCCATTCTGGTTCAAACTCTTAGAGTCCTCCCTCCAAGTCCCCATATGTCTGTACTCTACAAGCTCCTCCACGCCAGGTAGTCAGAAAACACCACCCTTCTTTCTTGACTCATGGTTTCTTTTTCCCTTGGAAAAAGAAGCTGGGTTTTGCGGGGGCGGGCGGATTAAGGGGGCAGTGGGGAGGGAGTTGTTTTTGTTTTTTTGCGGAGAAAGAGTAAGCGTGAGGGTGGGAGTGGGGAGGAGAGTTAAAAAGGCGAATATAAATTTCAAAACTGACCTTCTTCATCCTGGAAAACCACTTCAAAGTTCTTGCTCCAATCTGAGATGGAGAAATTCCGAGTGGCTTTCAGAGACTGAAAAGCAGTGAAAGGAAGCGAATTGTCAGAATACTGGCTGGCATCCCCTGGATGTCAAAGACAAAAACACAAGAGCATTGCCATTGTCTGCTGAACTAACCACTACTACTTGGAGGAGATAGACTTCTCATAAATAAGCTTTAATAATACCATCTTATATTTAGAATGTACATATCGCCAAAAGAACTTTACAGTTTTTAAAAATAATCTAATATGTCTTTATACCATCACTTGCTGGAAAGCTGAAGCTGGTTTTTTCTTTTTAAACCCTCATTTTATTAATAGAAAAGCTCTTGCATAAAGAAGTAAAAAATGATTCAAGTCAGTATGCTGTAAGCAACAGAACCAAGGAGTCCTGGTTTTCAGCAAAGTACAGTCTATCCACTAGACATCTTTATCCACAAGGCTAGGTTCAGACAGGGAGCCATGCCACACAGAGAATGTGGCTGTGAAAAGGGGTTTCCAGTCACACCTACCAGAGCCAAACATCACAAACACTTTCTGGACAGGGACCAACCCTTCTCATGCTGAGGGAATGTAAGAACTATGCCAGTGTCTGTGCAGTGGAGACAGACACACATCAGGTGTTCCTTTTCCATCAGACCAGAGTGACAACAAAAATCATTTCCTTTTAATCCAACAAGAGCTCTTCTATTCCAGGGATTCAATAACAAGAACTTTCTTCTGTAACCACCACTTACACCTGCCCTACATAGGAGTTCCATGACACTGTTCAGGAACAGCTTCAGTAGATTTGAAAGCCAATTGAGTCAACTAACCTTTTCCTAAAAATATACCTCCAACAACTCTGCCCTAAACTTAGTATAATCAAGCAAATAAAAAAAGAGTGTTTTACAGATATATTTAAAGAGAGAAATTTAGAGTTCATAAAAAAGATAACCTGCAGAATATAACCAAATACTAAAGAGGTTCTTAGTTGGAAAACTTTGGCAGCTGGTGACAGAAATGAAGCTCTACGCACCGATTCCAGTAAGGCGTGTCTGCTGACCTTCAGGGTGACTTTGGAATGTGGTCTTTTCATATGTACCTGCCGAAGCTCTCGCTGGAAAAAGTTCACCTTGTCCTGAAAGGTCTCAGAGCCTCCTGAGGAGGAGCAAGATCCATCATGTTTACTGCCTCATTATGAGACATCTGCGGAGTCCCTCCTCCACACCGTCATGTACCCAGGGTGGCTTGGGTCACTACCTTCCTCATCAGAATCCCTGGCCAACCTCACCTATGTTCTTATGCAGGGAGCGGATGAAAGTGGCAGCTAGAATGTTCCTCTCCTTACAGCTGAGCTCCACAGGAGGCTGAATGCCATCATCTACCACCAGTGTGAGCAGCTTATGGACAGGGTCAGGGCCAAGGTATGAAAACTAGCAAAGAAAAAAAAAGGAGTTAATCTATAAAACCCTCAAACCCAGCAAAAACTCTCCACACCCCTACCCTTCTGTACCAACAAAAACAAGTAAGCCTATTTTCTCCACGTGAGTACCTACCAGGGATACATCTCCCTTTTTTTCACCTCAGTGCTCTACAATTCAAATTTTAAATTATTTTAGTCAGAGAGACTGCCTTTAGCAAGGATCACAGACAACATTACAGACCTTCCAACATAAAATATAAGAAGGATGAGAGAGGCAAGCATATATAAAATAGCAAGAAATCACTACTCCAAACTGACTGGAGGAAAATGATTTTTATAAAATGACATATTCAAGACTTTGGGCAAAAGTTTAGATTCCAAAAGCCCAGAAAAGTTTAGAAAACCATTTATTTTTAATATATGAGAATGCTGTTTCTAAAAGAGTCAGCTTCAGCACACTGGGAGACCAAGCTTGGGCCAGAGTTACCAATATCCTTTCTATTAACTTAGTCTTGGAAGCAAAGGATAACTGGTGAAGTATTCTGAGTTGTTACTAATTCCTGTTCTTATAGGCATGTGCCCTTCCAGAATTTATATATATTCTTCATGCCATTTAGTGAGGAGATAACACCCTTTCTTTGTTAGGCAATGAATCCTGTGTGCACAGTGAGAACTTCCAGAAACACCAAAAGCCCTTCTGGGAAAAAAGAAAAGGCTGGAACATTCCAGAGCTGAAGCCTGCTCAGCATGTGCCAGATGTACGGCTCAACTTACTTTTGTTCCTGGGCACACTCGGAACGTGTAAAGGCGCCAGGGAATGATTTTCAGGTAGAACTCCTTCACTGAGAATTGCTGGAGGACCAACAGGAAGAACAGGAAGTGAATGATAAACAAAATGGCTCTATTTGGGTATTAGAATTCAAATATCATAGTTCCTATCTACATTTCTCATAATAACCTTTTTCCTCCATGGACAAAAATGACAATTTAGTCAGTACTAAAATCAAATAAATACGTCAACTATATCTTTAAAAAGGCAAATGAAAAATACTACTCTGACAATGCCATTTCACACAGAAATACATCATGATCTTAACATTCAAGTTTTACTACAATTTCTCAATATCTGAGATCAGATTTTCACTTTATGGGTAGAGAAGATTTTACCTAGAAGCAATTAAAATCTCCTCCTCAGCCAGATGCTGCTCAGAATGGCTTCTTCCAAATCAGTGGACAAAGGACACCAGCAGCCCATACCTACTGCTTTATCCCTATTTGAATGGTTCTAAGGATTTGCCAGAGAAGGAAAGGTGGGAAGATGGGTAGGGGGATGATGGGGAGGGGGTCTCATACAAAAAAGTTCATAAAAACACCTCATGTAAGAATAAAGAGGAGTCTCTTCATACCATTTACAAAAGAAGAAAAGACAATGCAATAATTTTTTAACCTAAGAAAACCCCTTTTATCTGAATGTGCAGGTCAGATTTTTTCCTGATTTTAAAAACTTCATTAAAGAAAATTTAGAGGCCGGGCGTGGTAGCTCACGCCTGTAATCCTAGCACTCTGGGAGGCTGAGGTGGGCAGATCGCTCAAGGTCAGGAGTTCGAGACTAGCCTGAGCGAGACCCCGTCTCTACTAAAAAAAAATAGAAAGAAATGATTTGGACAACTAAAAAAATATATATAGAAAAAATTAGCCAGGCATGGTGGCGCATGCCTGTAGTCCCAAGCTACTCGGGAGGCTGAGGCAGAAGGATCACTTGAGCCCAGGAGTTTGAGGTTGCTGTGAGCTAGGATAACGCCACGGCACTCTAGCCTGGGCAACACAGTGAGACTCTGTCTCAAAAAAAAAAAAAAAAAAAAATTTCAAACACATACTAAAGAAAAAAAATAATAATACAATGAACCCATCATGGCTTCAACAATTATCAACTCACAGCCAATCTTGTTTTATTTATCCACTCCACCCATTTCCCTCATTACCATCCCACCCAGACTAAATTTAAGGCTAGATTTTTAAATGAAGAATGGTACAACAGCGAAGTGTTCTGAAGTAGGACAGAATTAAATTCAGTTTTGGTTATGAGATTAAAGGGATATAATGGGATGTTTCAACAGAGTCTCATTTTTGTGAGGACTGAACCAATAAGAAAATACAAATATTAAAAAGGAACTTTTAACACAAAGCGCCTCTCAGCTCAGGGGCTTGGGAAGTTCACCTTTTTTCCCTGACAATATGTCTTTATTCCTGTAGCCTGATAGTGACATGCATTACAGTGGTTTCACCAATCACAGAATGAAAGATCAAATTGTTCCAGTATAGCATAAGGAATCAACAGTGATTTTTCTACTAGTGAGAAATTTTTAATGGCTAAAAGTAGCTTTCTACACAATTCTTACGAGCCATGCCTTGAAAAATCTTCCAGAAGCAATCAAAGGACAGAATGACACAGGTGCTCTAAAGTACCAAGGCTTTAGATAGAGATTTAGTCTCATTGAAACCAAACATTTGCAGCACTGTAAGTGGCACAATCTTCTGCTTAACTTAATCTCCCAGAAACCCCACAAGTCAACATCTTGACCTGATACTTAGACTGCTACTTTGTAGTTACCAAATACCAAATACATGCAGGCTCAGGCAGAGGGATTTTGAGGCAAGAAGTAGAGTTCCAACCTTTGGTGACACATAGCAGTACACCTTCTTTGGTTTCTTCACTTTCTCGGGGGTGTGGCACTCAGAGGGCGAGTCTTCATCTTCCTCCTCAATAGCAGTGGAGGGCCGGCGCTGGGAAGAGCTCATGTGCATGGGTGGAAGGTGCCACGGAGTGCTGGTACAGTTGGTAGCATTATAAAGATAAGCCTCAAAGTAAATGCTCACACCTGAGGTGGACACGTTGCGTTCGACAATATTCCTCTCGTTCTCTGAAGTATAATAAGGAATAAGGTTTAAAGTAGGAGTCAGGGGAAAAAAAAATTGCCTATCACCAGTCCTTTAGCCCATAGGAACTAAGCCAACCATAGCTCAAATATCAAATGTTTGTGAGGTCATGCAAAGAAGTGGCCGGGGAATAGGACTAAATCATACCTTTTCTTTTAACTCACCACTTAGGACAATAATGTCAAATTCGCCATTATTGATTGGCTGATTTTGGTATGAAATGCGGGCACGAAAGCAGCCACGAGAATGCAGGGTGAGTCGCAAGAACACCTGGCAAGTCTGCCTGTTGGATGTCACTGACTTCTCAAATGAAACACCAGTACTCTCTTCTTCTTGAGGGCCGAGCTATAGGAAGATAACAAAGCATCACTTCACATATAAAATTTTTCCCTATTTACAAGACAATTTACTCTTTATCAAGAACTTCCCTATCTATGATCTAATCTAAGGCTCACCATTACTAACAAGACAGGTATTGTCAGATGAAGATACAGACAGCACGGAAGGCAGGGACAAGGAGACAAGAGATGGAAGTAAATTAGAAGGGGAGACAATGACAGAGAAAGGAGCCTGCTCTCCCCAGCACATAAAGAAAGGAGGCTGCTTACCTCATGAATGGACAAACTGTAATTATGCTCATCTCTCAAAGATGTGGAATTGTTGGTAGGGTTGTCATACTCATCTCGGGGCACTATTTGAAGGGTGTGTGGCTGCCCACAGGTCAACACGAGAGTAGAAAAATGGCACACAATTTTGGTCTTGGAAGGAACCACCATTCCTGGAACAAAGACAATGGAATCTAACGTTTAGAGAGGGGCTCTTCAGGGCACAAAGATCTGCTCAGTGAGTCCTGGAGAGCTACATCCTTAGATATTTATCTAGGGATAAATAACACTATTAAGAGGAGTGGGGGGAGGGTGGGGAAAGGAAATAGAAAAATTAACTCAAATAAACTTTGAAGCTCATTTTTACAAATTGTTAACCACTGTAAGCATCAGACAAAATGAGAAAAGAACTTGGTGGAAATAGAAACAAGAGTTACAGATATGATGCCTAGAGTCCCACTGGGAACCTAAGAGTGAGGTGGGCCCTAAATAAGTGCCAAACAATTGCAAAGAAAAAAAACCACCATGAAATACTTAGTTGCAAATCTAATAAAACATGTACAAGACTTGTATGTTGAAAACTACAAAACACTGATGAAAGAAACAAAAAAGATCTAAATAGATGGAGAAACATATCACATTTACGGAAGATTCAACATAATACAGATGTCAATTTTCCTCAAACTGATATACAGGTTTAACACAATTCTTATTAAATTTAGACAAGATTCTAAAATTTATAAGGAATGGCAAAAGAACTATTCATAGAATAGCTAAAACAATTTTGAAAAAGAAGAATAAAGAGTCCAGTTTACCAATTATAAGAGCCTATTATAAGACTTACGATATATCTTATAAGATTTATTATAAAAGCTACAGTAATCAAAGAGTCTGTGGTAATGGTGGAGGGATACTTACACTGATTGATGAAGAAGAACAGAGAACCCAGAAATAGATCCCCACAAATATGCCCAACTGAATTTTGACAAAGGTGCAAAAGCAATGTAATGGAGGAAAGATAGCCCTTTCAACAAATGGTGCTGGAGCAACTAGACATCTATAAGCAAAAAAAGGAACCTTCACCCAAATCTCACATACAAAAATTAACTATAAGTGGATCATGATCTTAAGTATAAAATGTAGGCCAGGTGAGGTGGCTCATGCCTGTAATCCCAGCACTCTGGGAGGCTGAGGCAGGAGGATAGCTGTAGCCCTGGAGTTTGAGGTTGCAGTGAGCTATGATCACACCATTGCACTCTACCCGGGGTGACAGAGCAAGACTTTGTCTCAAATAAAAAAAAAAGCATAAATTGGATTTCATGAAAATTACAAACATTTGCTCCATGAAAGACCCTGTTAAGGGGCTAAAAAGAAAGCTACAGATAGGGAGAAAGTATTTGCAGACCGCATATTTAACAAAGGACTATCATGTACAATATACAAAGAACTCTCAAACTCAACAGTAAAAAAACAAAAAAATTCCAATTAGGAAGTAGGCAAAAGATATGAAGAAACATTTTAGCAAAGAGATGGCAAATAAGCACATGAAATAATGTCTGACATCATTAACCATTTGAGAAATGCAAATTAAAAGCACAATGAGATACCACTACACGCTTATCAGAATGGCTATAAAAAAAATAAAATAACACAGGACAGATAGGCTCTCAACACACTACACATACAGGCTGCAGAACTGAGAATCAGAGACTATAATTTTAGACTTCAATACCAGTGGGCATCTGTTATCTGGCATAAAGGACATGGGGAGGGGGGAAAGTAGAGATAAAGGCCTCAATTCTCAGATATCAGAAGCTTGGGCAGGCACTCTTCAATGACAAAGAAAACACATACTGGCGACAAGGATGGGATTAGGGTCAAGGTGCTTTTACTTGAAAAGGTTTCAAAAATCAGAAGGATTTATTTTTTGTCGATTCTGGCACCCTGTCACTTAAGAACTTACCAGATTGATGACTCAGCAATTATAGAGAAACAAAAACATGTCCACACAAAAGCTTGTACACAAATGTTTGCAGCAGCATTACTTACAGTAGCCAAAAAGCAGAAACAACCCAAATGTCTATCAACTGACAAATGGATAAATAAAAGGTGGTATACACATACAAAGGAATATTATTTGGAAATAAAAAGAAATGAAGTACTAATTCATGGTATATAGCATGGATGCACCTTAAAAGTACCATATTAAGTAAAACAAGCCAGTCACAAAAGGTCACATATTTTATGATTACATTTATACGAAATGTCCAGAGCAGGCAAATCCACAGAGGCAATAGATTCATGGTTGCCTAGGGCTGGAGGGTATGGGGAAAAAGTGATGGCTAAAATGTATGGGGTTTCTTTATGGGGTGATGAAAATCCTCTAAAATGGACTGTGATGATGGCTGTACAACTCTGTGAACTTTAAAAACAATTAAACTGTATATTTTAAATGGATGAATTATATGACATGTAAATTAAATCTCAATAAAGGTGTTATTAAAAAAAAAGGAAAGAAAGAATGGAGGGAATGAGACAGAGGGAGGGAGACAAAGGGAGAAACAATGGGAAAAAAAAACCTACCAGGCTGAAAAATTTTGTAGTAAGGACTATAGGCTACATTTAATCCACCAAGCTTCACTGTAATTTCGTAACGCCCAGCCTTGCGCACAGTGAAGGCCACCTTTACCACGTTGGAATTGGGATCTTGAAGGACTTCCTGAGTCACTGGAATCTCCACTGCTAGCTCAACATGAGAGATGTGAACTCTTAGTCCCACAGGCCGATGTGCAGGGAAAGGCTGCCCGTTCTTATAGAATAACTGCAGTGGGGAGAAGAGGGGTACCCATTAGTGAGCGAAGGGAAAAAATCCCCTCCTATGTAATTAGAGCGTGTAGGGAGAAAGGTGTTAGCTGGCAGAGGCCACACTGGTAAATCCCAGTACCTATCCACTCCTTACAGTCCTGCTCACAGAAACACAGAAACCAATGGCCCCAACACTCCAAAGAGACCATTCAATGATGAACAAATTCTTAATCTGTGCAGAGGACAGGGGTAGAATTACCACTGAATCAAGAAAATGTCCATCTCAGCTTGACATGTCTGAACCACCACTGCTGCCTCCTCGGTCTTACCAGCCCTTTACATTACATTACCAGTGCTAACCCAAATTTAAAGGTAAGTCAGCCAGTAGCACTGGCACCAAGTAAACTAAAGCACCAGGCAAGGGTAGGAGGGGTTCTGGCTCTCAGGCCAAGCTTAATGCTACAGTGGAGAAGTCACTGCAGGGCTCAGCAAACGCTTTCTGTTTAGTGCAGAATAGTAAATACATTTGGTTTTATGGGCCATACACAACTCAACTGTCATAACTATTCAATTGTGAAAGCAGCCATAGTCAATACATGATGAGTGGGTGTGGCTATGTTACAATAAAAATGTATTTGCAGAAACAGAAGGTGGGCCTGATTTGCCAACCCCTGATCTGTAACACCTACTCTTTTTAGTAATATTTTTCTTATTTTGAAAAGGTAACCTTAAGTTTTATACTTCTTCAAAGGTAAGCACCTATTAAACCAAAATGATAGAGAAATTTGTAACTCTTCGGACAGTAACAATTCCCAAGTTCCTGGGAAGAGCTGAAAAACAAGCAAAAATGTTAACATTCCAGGCCAGCACTACCAACAGACTGAACTGAGCTCTGGAAAGCAAGTGAAACCCCAGAAACCCCAATGGGTACGGAGACAGAAACATTCCCTTACATGCACTCGGAAGGCCATGCTGTGGCCCACCTCATAGGGGTCCTTCCAATCCCAGGAGACTTTGCAAGACCGGGGATCCAGGTAATTTCCCCGCACGTAGTCATAAATAGTCCGGTCCCCTCGGCGCTCACGGTCCTCATTCTGGAGGAAGCTGACTACACGTGCGGCAAGCTCAAAGAGGAACTTAATTGTGAAGAAGAATGCAACCACAGATACTGTGATTCCCCCTATGTAAAACAGAAAACACACAAACCACCTGCCAGTTACACATTACAGCATCTCATTATAGAATAGGATAGCCATCTCTCAAAAACTATATGAAGTCAGTATGAGACTACAAGACTGTCAAAGAAACACTATACTGGGTCACTACCCCTGTGGATGAAGAGAGGAACTTCTACCCCAGGGGTCAGCTGCTGCAGTCCTTGGGCCAAATCCCACCCATTGCCTGTTTCAGTAAATCAAGTACTAAGGAATAAAGCCACACTCATTTGTATACAAACTGTGGCATCACACTGGCAGAGCTGAGTAGCTGTGTGGCCATCAAAACCGAAAATAGTTACTCTCTGGCCTTTTAGAGGAGAAGTTTGCTAACTCTTGCTCTATCTGAACTACATATAATGCTCCCCTCCCTTCCTTCCTACATGTGGTGGGTCCCCACAGAAGCAGTAAAAAGAATGCGCATTTGGTTCCCTCCATTTCCTTCTAAAAAGAATGCACACCTGGGAGATTTCCCCTGCCCTGTCTACTTGGCAGAAGTCCTCCCCAGTTCCCATCAGAGTTAGGGGTTACCTCTTCTGGGCTCCTTCAAACTCCTGTACATTCATCTACTACAACTTTTCTCTTCCTTGACTAGTTCCCCCTTCAAGTTATGAATTTCTACTCCCTGAAGGCAGATTTTTGCCTTATTCAACTTTAGATTCCACAGTAAACAGTGTCTGGCACTGACTATAATTGCTCAATAAATATTTCCCAAATGAATGAATCCCACTGCCAACTCTATGAATATACATTCTGGCATGACTGGAAATATTTCTAGCGGTATTATTAAGAGGAATGGGGATGAACAAGGAGGCAAAAGGGACCTAAGCAACCGTAACAAAAAGATAATAAAGAAAGCCTTTCTATAACATACCAATAACGTAAAACATCAGGTCCCTTCAATGCCAACAGACAGCCGAGGATCACAGCTGCAGCTGGAAAAGAAAACTTGTTTAGTTTTTTCCCATAACTCTTCCTTATAGCCATCTCAGAGTGAAACAAAGTAGAACATAAGGCTTAAGCCAACCAACTCTCTCTAGTCTACACAGCCTTACTATTCCTGTCCCTCTCTCTCTAGCTTGACAGGTGCCCTATGACATGTTTCAGAGAAACAAAGAGAGACTGCATTATTCCCCCTCAAGACTTCCAATCTACCAACCACCCTAGGGATACCACAAACAGCCACTTGCTTGCTATATCGCTAGTTACAAAATACAATAACACGGCTTTCATCTTCTTAGATCCATGGTTCCCAAGACAGCTTCCCTCCCCCATGCAAAGTAGTGCTAATTAACACAAGCGAAGAAGATAATGGAGTCACTTTCCCCTTATATTTGCCTTCTGGAAGTCATTCAGCTAAGTAGAAATAGCTATATAAAATGTAGATTTTTTTTTTAAAGCAAGTATCATTATCATCACGTTGGAATTATGTAATTAAAATGAACTCTGGGTCAACCCAATAATAAGCAGTGGGTACGTAAAGGAAGTCATTTATGCTGTTACCAATCAGTCAAACTAATGGACCCTCTGGAAGATGAGCTCAGCAGAAAGGCCAAGGAGAAGAACAAAAGGAGACTGTATTTCTCATCCTAAGTGATGCCTGTCAAGGTCAGAGTTTGAGGAGAAACTGAATTTCACTGTCATTAAACTTGTTTCCAGAAAAGACTTCAATCTTCATTTGGTCATTTGAACCACTAAAGGTGTCACCAAGGAAAAATGCGAAGTACACTGATGTTCGTATCTTATCACTGAGTTCAACCTTAGTATAGGCTGTCTCTAAATTCACTCTTTCAAGTCAATATATATTCATTAAGGTTATCAATGTTATCTCGACCCAGCACCTTCTTATCAGTACTAGAATATTACTTAAAGGCAAGTCAACTAAAAATTTCTAGGCTCAGATCTGGAAGGGAACAAAACTTCTTTTTTTCAGAGTGTGCTTTTGTATCTGATTGTGCTCGAAAAATTTAAGAGAAAGAGAGAAAGAAAACAGCCTATTAGTTCTTTTGATGACAATATATCCAATGGATCCCACAGAAAGTAGGTAATTTGAGGAATGACTGTCTTAAGTTTCATAGAAACCCCTACGTAGAGTGGTGTCTAAAGTCCTACTAGAAAAGAAATCCACACAAGGAACATGAGAATTGTCAACACACATAGATTATAAACAATATACAGACCCCAAATTTAAGATCACAACTACTGAGGCTCCTTCCCAAATAAGTATCTTGTATCCTGGACCCCTAGGCTGAAAAGCTGCTATCATCTCTCAAAAAGCCACTGTCTGCGCCTTACAGGATGTACTAGATTAACGGTCTCCAATCTTTTTGGCACCAGGGACCAGTTTCACGGAAGACAATTTTTCCACGGACCAAAGGTGGAGGGGTGGGGTGTCATGGGTCGGGGAAGGGTGGTGCAGAGCTCAGGCGGTGATGTGTGGCCCGTTTCCTAACAGGCCACGGACTGGTACTGGACCATAGCCCAGGGGTTGAGGACTGCTGATGCTAGTAGACTTGGTTAGACCAAAATGGTAGTTTAAATTCCTCAGCTAGATGCCATCCAATCTGATCCTAGATGTGAAACTTCTGGTCCTCAGGTAAGTTACAGCCCTCAGCAGAAAATGAAACATATGTGACTGATGTTACAGACTTGTGGTCTCATGTCTCTTGCTCCTTGGAGGAAGAAGAGCAGTGACAAATTTATGGCTTGAGTCACCAGGGCTGGAAAAATTTCTATCTACTATCTCTGACAACTACAACCACCTTTTCTGTGAGATGCAGCTGACATGTAGTAAGTCACAATCCTGGAGACCAGTCCGAGGGCTTCAACTAACTGTGTGACCTATCTAGGCTTCAGAATTCTCATTGCTGTAAAAAGAGAATTGAGATTTAGTAATTTCTATGGCACCATCTCCTTTAAGTACAATATGACTTCAATGTAACTACCCATAGCCATCAAGGCTCTAAAACCAAATAGTGTTAACAAGTAGTATAATACAGAGGATGGGGGCACAGATTCTAGCGTTAGAATATCTGGGTTCAAATCCATGCTCTGCCACTCACAATGTGACCTTGGACAAGTCATTTAGTCTTTCTATAGGGTACCAGTTTCCTCATCTGTCAAATGGAGACAACACCTATATGTACCTCACAGTGGGGTGCTATGAGGATAAAGTAAGTTAACACATGTATACAGAGTAATGCCTGGTACACAATGAGTTCTCAAAGTTTTAATGACTATAACACTAGCATCAACATTAGTCCAATATCACCACTCCTTTGCTTCAGAACTGACAGGAAACTTAGGGAACCTCTCTACTAGCCCACTCTTTCTTCAATGAGAAATGCATCAGAATTAAAAAAAGGCACGGCTTCTATGACTGTTCCTAAAATCTCAGCCTGCATGGGGGCTCTCTATACCATTCCAATTTTATGCCTGAAAATTTTTATAATAAAGAGTTAAAAACTCATCCTAAAATAATTCATCCAACAAATACTAAGTGCTTACTTAATGTGCTAGGTACTAGGGGAACTGAGTAGCCACAGTCCCAATTCTCATGAAGCTGAGAGTAATGAGTTGAGTCCTTGGTCATTATTCCTCATTCACTTATTTCTCAAAAAATCACCCTCTGCCCTGTCCTAATGCTACGTCCACCCCCAACCCCCACTGTTCTCCTTGGCCCCACCTTCCATACTACCTCATTGTTGATCCTATGATCTAGCCAAATCAGATCCTTTACACTTTTGCATACAAGTTCTGAAATTTCCCATCTCCATGCCTTCAAAAGTCATCTCCCCTGACTAGAATATCCTCCTCCCCCTCAGTCTCTATACTTGGAACATCTCCTGATCCTAAGGTCTAGGGAAAATCGTATCCTCCCTCCCTGAAATCTTCCCTGATCCTCAATTTAGAAATTCCTTCCCTCCTCTGAATTTCCACACAACCTTGTTTTTATTTATCTTATAGCATTTATATTTCTTTAGTCTTTTGTTTGTTTTCTTTTTCATTTCAGAAGTGATAAATAACATGAGGCAATGACTAGTCTTAAAAATTATCCAAAGCATCCAACATAATTGCAATAAATACGAATAAAATATCTGCTGAATAGATAAGGCCAAATGTCTTTCTTTTCTTTGTCCAGAATGCCTAAGGAATTTTCCAGATGGGCTCTTCCTCTTAGATATAGTTTTAAAAGACTTCTCTAACTAGCAATATATTCTCTTGATTCAGGGGTTATAAGCTCTTTAGACCTAAAAGTTGCCAATTTAATTCAGTTCAACAAGTATGTATCAAATACCCACCACTAGGGTCATGAGTTTTCATGCATGGTATTTTTCTACAACAGTTTCTACAGCACCCTCCGCTTTTTGCTGTTCACACTTCTCCTGAGTCTAATTCAAGAACAAACAAGTACATTAAGGTTCCACCATACTATTTCATAAAATTGTTACCTGACTATTTTGTTTGTTTTCCAGTTCATCTCTTTAGTGTTCTTGCCCTTATTACGATATTGGAATTCTCTAAGCTAGCAGAATAACAGTAGTAGTAGTAAATTCATAACTCTCTACCCCCTTATTTAGCCACTTTTCACAAGCCAAACACTGGCCTAAATGCTTTACATATGTTAGTCTAAGTAACTGTCACAACAACTTAGTGAGGTAAGTATTATTATTCTCATTTTACAGTTAAAAAAAAAGCTGGGCTTAGGAAAGTTAACTTGCTAAACATCTCACTGATGGTTAAGTGACACAGCTGAGACTCAAGCCCATGTTTAACTTTGAAGCCCAATGCTCTTAACCTCATACAATAATGGATTATGAAAAAGAATGAAGTCATAGGAATAGTGAAGTACTTGGGAAGAGAAAAGATTTAAGAAAACAGGTAAAAGTATGAAAAACATTACCCAATCTTACTGTAAGGAATCTAAAGCTAAAATTAGAAAGATAAACTCTTGTGGCTCTTTTTTTAATTTTTGAAATAAAAATAAAGCATGACCAAGGAAAATGGAATGCAGTACCAATCATCTAGTGCAAAAATATCACTTGCTTACTGAAGCATCCTGGTCTAGTTGCTCAATACTATAGCACTTTGGCTCACAATACCTACAAAAAGGGGGAAAATACTTGAAAATACCTATCTTCAGGAACTGTTAGAAAGTGGATCGACATACATATACTAAAACCCTTTGCTTTTTTTGGAGTATTAAGATTTATAATTACAATAGCAAATAAATTTTAGCACCAACACTGAAGATCAGTTGTGGAAAAGTCATTTCTTGAAAATAGAGAATTGGTTTCTTCATAATTAAAATTGCTCTACAGGAGGCAAAGGCAATTCTCACTACAACCGCATACTTCAACAGCTATCCCTTACTGAAAAGCCTTAAAAGCTGGTCACTGGATCCATGTTCTGCATCCCAATAACTGAATATTAAAACAATCTATTTCCTTACCTTTAAACGAGGGCCCATGTTCTGAGAACCAAGTGGAGCACTCGTATTCACCAAAGCAGATAACTTTTGGCCCCTTTCACCTTGTCTTCCAACTTCCACATGAAAGAAGAAAGCCACAAGGTCACCGGAAAGGGTCTGTCCATCAGACCTTCACTGAGGATGTGTCAGAGTAAGCAGAGGGTCAGTGTTTCCGGAAGTAACTGGATGAATTCCAGGGCAGAGGAATACAGCCCAAGAATATATCATTTCCAGACTTTTCTCTAGTGCAGGGCACAATCAACTGCCCGAGGATACATATGTTCTGGTGTCCCAGGATCCTACCCTAAAAAGAAAACAGGGTTAGTGATATTGGTTATTTCTAAAAGAGATTCCCCAGAAAACAACAAAGAGGAGGTAGAACAGACAGTGGAAACTGTGGGCCACTAAAAATAACCAAGGGCTGGTAAACTCTGACCAAGCATTCCCAATTAAAACTCCACAGTTTCCTTAAGGTCACTCTCCAACTCCACAAGAAAAGTCAACTGGCAACCTCACTGTCTGTAACTATGTCACCAGGGCACAAATTTAAGGAGTGAGCTTTATCACAACCACATGCCCAGTTTCAGTTTAGTGGGGCTTAAGCACAAGGTCTGGGAACAACCATGAAGAGAAATGAGACGAAAGCACCAGCAGAGCCAGATTACAGAGGGCCTTATATACCACAATAAGGAAGCAAGACAACATTCAGTTGGAAAAGAGAAACCACCAAAGAGCTTTAAAACCCAGTCTATCAGCCTACGCAGTCTGCTCTTTTTGTGCCCATGTATGTACTTCCAAGACATGGTTAAACAAAGCTGATTTTATATTTAAAACAGTAAAATAACTGCTACAAGTGGGGAAAACAAATCTGTGAACTTTCAAAATAAATTCACTAAATTACATCCAGTGAAGTCAGTTTATAACTCTCAAAGATATTCGTTAACCAAAAACGTAGCAGAAAGAGGGTTTATGGCAATGCATACACAAATAGCCACCATAAAACAAATTAGAGGAGACTACTAACCAGTAAAAGAGACCATCTTACCACATGGCAGGAACTATTCCCAGTGCTTCGTATGTATTAACTCACAACCCTAAAACAGACAATTATCCCCATTTTACAGATGAAGAAACTGGGACATAGAAAGGTTAAGGTACTTTTTCAAGATAATACACAATGAGTTGAGTCAAACCCAGACAAACTGGACCCAGAATCCATGCTGTTAGTGACTACTTTTCTACCTCTTTACTAAGGGAGACCAAGGTAGAAGACACAAAATGCTAACAAGAACAGAAGAACAGAATGAGTGAAAGCCAGCAAATCGAATTAATTGGCAAACTTTTAAAATTAAAAATAAATATATACATTTATTTTAAAATATAGCAATAGACTTGCCAAGTACATGAGCCAAAACCTGGGTCAACTAGCAATTGGAACAAGCTTAAAAGATCCCCAAATGAGAATAGTTACATAAACTATAAGAGATCCCTGTGAGAGAATGTTACATAAGAATTTTTAGGCCGGGCGCGGTGGCTCACGCCTGTAATCCTAGCACTCTGGGAGGCCAAGGCGGGCAGATTGTTTGAGCTCAGGAGTTCGAAACCAGCCTGAGCAAGAGCGAGATCCCGTCTCTACTAAAAATAGAAAGAAATTAATTGGACAACTAAAAATATATAGAAAAAATTAGCCGGGCATGGTGGTGCATGGCTATAGTCCCAGCTACTTGGGAGGCTGAGGCAGTAGGATTGCTTGAGCCCAGGAATTTGAGGTTGCTGTGAGCTAGGCTGACGCCACAGCACTCACTCTAGCCCGGGCAACAAAGTGAGACTCTGTCTCAAAAAAAAAAAAAAAAAAATTTTTTAAAATGACACTTTTAAGATATAACAATATAGGGAAATGTTCACAAATAAAATGTTGAATGAAAAAGCAGGCAAAATGTTGTTTACATAGCACAATCCCAACTTTAGAAATACAATATTATATAAAGGAGACTAGAAGGAAAAACATAAAAATATTAACAGTGTTCATCTCTTGGCACATAGAATTATAAATAATTTTTACCTTCTACCTGTATTTTTTAGTGTTTTTTTTTTTTTTTTTTAAGACTGGGTCTCACTATGTTGCCCAGGTTGGTCTTGAACTCCTGGCCTCAACTGATCCTCCTACCCCAGCCTCCTGAGTAGCTGGGATTATAGGCTCAAGCTTCCTCACCAGGCCCTTTTAGTGGTTTTCAAATTCTTAATGATGAAAGGATATGTAAGAAGTTCCTATTTCTGGAGACCATATATTTTTTAGGGACCTATTTTCCTAAAAAAAGGAAGAGAATAGGCAAATTATCCTTTTTTGAAATAAGGAAACAGTATAACAGTATAAAGAAAGTAAGATAGAATATACTGAACTTTTATTTCTATTCATTATGATCTTAGTGGGTTTCCAATCCTGCGATCAGCTAATTGAGCATTAAATCAAATAACTCCCAGTTCTAACATAATCTTTACTGTCTCCACCATGAACTACCACATTTACCCCATGTTTCAGTGCCTCTAGTGAACTTCAGGACTCAATTCAAGCACTCCCCCTTCTCTGGTCCAGCCCCAGGGCCTCTCTGAGGACTCCACCCACACCAGGCAGAATCAATCACTTCGTCCTCTGTGATCCTCCTATGTTGAAGATACCTCTATTATAACATTTATTAGTCCATATTAAAATTATCTGCTTATATAGTGTGTCTCCTAATAGATTCTAGGCTCCCTGGGGACACTGACTGGTTCTTACTCATCTTTGCCTCCCACTGGCTAGTATGGTGTTCAGCCCTATTATGTCAGAGTCTATACTTTCACAGGATCCCAGCTGATTGCTATGCATGCTGAAGTTTGAGAAGCATGGTCTAGATTCCAGAGCAGTCAGCCTAAGAAGGAGCCCAATATTTTGTATCTTTAACAGGCATACAGGTAATGCTGACACTGCTGGTCTTATAAACCACGCTTTCAGGAGTAGGAGTCCAGAGCAGGAGTCAGCAAACTACAGCCTGCAGGCCAAATCCACACAGCCACCTGTTTTTGTAAAAACAGAATGAAAACAGCCAAGTTCATTTGTTTACATATTGTCTATGGCTGTTTTAGCACAATGACAGAGCTGAGTAGTTGCAGCACAGATGCATGGCCCACAAAACTCTATTATCTGGCCCTTTACAGAAAAAGCATACCAATTCCTGGTCAAGTAGTCTTAATTTTAAAGCTACATAACTGCCTTATATAAACAAACACATTTTTATAAATCAAAGAAAGCATTAAAATCATTTTCTTCCAGTTCTACTAACCCCTCTAGGAGAAGAGCTACAAAACTTGTAAAATTATGCAAATGTTTCTAATTTCAACACTTATTTAAAAGCTTTATACCTCCCATACTCCAATTAGGAATTTTGCATGAACATTTTCCAAAATACATATTTCATACAATCATGCTTGCATTTCATCAAGGCTAATATTTCCTAAAACCAGTACCTCAGGGACCAAATACTGTATTCGAGTTCCTAAAATTATTACAATACATATTACTGATGCAGTCTCTGCTTTTAAAATGCTATGAAAACCTGATGTGAAAGCCCACTTCAGAATTCTGGTGCATACAGAGCTAGTGGCAGCACATAGGAGTTTCAGTATCACCTACTAATTTCCACAAAGTAAGACAGGACAAAAGAAAGAAGTTTGCTTTGTAAGATGTAGTCTCTAGCATTCTCTACACAGAAGCAACAGCCCTAAGTCCAGGGACATGAAACTAAACCAAATCATTCAATTAGCAAAAAGTGCACGGATTAGGGTGGTCTAACTAAAGAGGTTCCAAAAAATAATGTGTACCATCAGATACTTTGGATTATGAATGTACATTTACCATGGCTTAATTTCACCCTGGCTTATTCTCCCCACACCAAAATCTCACCATAAAAGATTGTCCTTCCCCACCAAATTTATACTCTTGAGATATTCATACAGTTGTATATTTCTGCTATCTTCGTTCAGCCAAGTTATATGGTTTTCATTTACACTTTCTTCATCAATCAGCCCCTCCAGTCTCTTAATCATTCCTAGGTCTTCTGTGAACTCTCTCCAGCTGGTCCCCAATGATATGGTAATGAGGTGCCTCCAAATGCCTGCAGCCTTCCAGGAACAGCCTTGTTAGAACAATATGAGCTCACTCTCCTCAGTTCCATGACACAATATTCCTGAGCAGGCCATCCCCCAGATCACAGAAAGCTACTACGCTGCCATATTAGACTATAACCCTATTCCATGCCTCCCAGATTTGGATATGGGGCATGCTAGAATGTACTAGAAGCCAGAGGATAAATGACACATGTACCGGCAGCATCTACTTTACTAGAGGATGAGTGGGAAGAAAAAAGTATTTTCATGTTAAAACAAGCTCATAATAATAAAATAGAATGTAATATTTGCATGGATTTCTAAAGATAAAATATGGCTATGTTAAAAATGTTCATAGGTATTTTGTACTTGATGTGAAAGGCTGCTTGGGCAGGTTCTGGCTCCCAGCCCCCAAGGGGTTACATATCTACTATCCTCTGCCACTAGAGGTACTTGAGCCAAAAAGTTTGAAAAGCACTATACTCCCCACTCAAATTCTGGTCTACTGTGCATTATCACCCATCCCATATACTCACATTTTAAATGACATTTTTCTGCTATGTTTCCCCATCCCTAGGTATCTGTATTTATTTTCTCTTTACCTAAAATCATTTGTGAAAACTTTATGTTGCATTTCACTCTGTAATTCACTGACTACCAACATCTTTAGGTGCCGCTGCATCATTCATTTCACATTTCTTGAGCATTTGCTGTATGATAGGCTGAGTGCTAAAAGCCAAAGTCACAAAGATAAATAAGACGGGGTCCTTTCTTAACCTTGATGAACTTGCTCCACCTCCATTGTGGGAGATGGGCAGTACAATGTGGCAAATGCCATGAAAGAGGAATAAACAAAGTATGGAAGGCAGAGGAAGGAAAGGTAACTTTGCCTGGAAGAGTGGAGAAGTCTTCACAGTAAAGACAATGGAGCTGATTACTTAAGAATAAGTAAGCATGGGGGGGTCAGGGGGACTAATATTCTAGGCAGAAAGAATGGCACAAGCAAAAGTACCAAGTCAAAATAAGGAGTGATGAAAAGTTCAGCATTATGAAAGCAAAGTGATTAGAAAGACCACTTGGGGCCAAATTAGGATGACTAATTCTAAGTAGTGGTTAAGAGTGTGAATCTT